CGCCCCGTGCGCGGGGGGGCTGTGCCTGCCGCAGTCATCTCCCATCAGCATTTCTGAGCTCTGCCTTCGGCCGCTGGGGTTGTGACCATGGCTATGCCCAGCTCCCCAGAGCTGCCGGGAGGGGGATGAGCCCAGCATGGCACCATGTGGGAGCCTACCCAGGCTTTACTAGGGCACAGATCTAGATTCTGAGGGACAGTCCCCCCCCCACCTGTCACAGGCCACCCCAGAGGAAAAGCCCAAACTGGAAGAGTTCTTTGCTCGCAACTCGTATGTGGCTGGCCAGTATGATGACGTGGCCTCCTACGAGCGTCTCAACAGCCACATGGATGCCCTTCATCAGGGGCCCCAGGCAAACTGCCTCTTCTACCTGGCCTTGCCCCCCACCGTCTATGAGGCCGTCACCAAGAACATCCATCAGGCCTGCATGAGTCAGACGTAAGGCTGTCCTTCACCTTCCTTTTCTGCCTCCCATCTGGTGAGCCCCTGGGCCAAGCCAGTTGGCCTGGATGCCCCCATCTGTCCTCAAACAGCCCTGCCGGCAGTGCTCCTTGGCAGCAATACCCGCCATGGCCACAAGGTGGCAGCATTGCTCCATGAAACTCTTGATGCTGCTTGCACTTCCTTTGGCATCTCACACTTTCCCAGGGTCCCCTCTAGGACCACCAGGTGGCAGTGTTCCTCCATGATGAGTCCACTGTCTGCTGCGTAGCGCTCAGCACTCTGCCCTCAGCCTTCTCTGGTTGTCTTGTTCCTGATCTGAATGCAGAGTGCCGTCTTATGCTTGGGAATAGCCGAGAAAGGGGCCATTTCTCATTTTCAAATCTGTGAGAGCCTGTGCCTTGCTGCCCCCTTCTTTGCTTCCTACTGGCTGCCAGGTCACTCACCTCACATACCTGACTGGGGACCCAATGTGGGGCCTCCTTGGAATGTGCCAGCCCTGGCGACCATGCACCCAGCACAGGCAGGTTTGGGAGCTGGCCCAGGAGCCAGTAGGTGGGAGAGGCTGTGAACTAGGGTAGGATCCCCTGAGAATTCTGGGAGCAAGGCTACTCCCTGGGAGGGGGTCAGAGTAACACAGCTCTGCCCTCACTCCCTGAGGAGGGCTCCAGAGGGTGATGCAGCTCTGGACCCTGACAGAGGCTGGAACCGCATCATCGTGGAGAAGCCCTTTGGCAGGGACCTGCAGAGCTCTGACCGGCTGTCCAACCACATCTCTGCCCTGTTTCGCGAGGACCAGATCTACCGCATCGACCACTATCTGGGCAAGGAGATGGTCCAGAACCTCATGGTGCTGAGGTGCGGGCTGAGCCCGGGGGGTGGGTTGGGGCTGTCCTGCTGCTGCCCTGGGCCAGGCTGGAGCTCAGATGCCCGGGGCCCTCTTCCTCTCCCGTGCCAGCCTCTGCTCCCCACTACAGGTTTGCCAACAGGATCTTTGGCCCTATCTGGAACCGGGACAACATAGCCTGTGTGATCCTCACCTTCAAGGAGCCCTTTGGCACTGAGGGCCGTGGGGGCTACTTTGATGAATTCGGGATCATCCGGTGAGAGCCTGTTCCCCCTCCTGGGAGGCCACCTTGTAGGGCTGCCCCTCCCTGGGCCAGGGGCCTCGGGCAGTCCCGACCCAGGAGGGGGACCTGAACCAGTTCCATCTCTTCTGCCAATAGGGATGTGATGCAGAACCACTTACTGCAGATGCTGTGTCTAGTGGCCATGGAGAAGCCTGAGTCCACTGACTCTGACGACGTCCGCGATGAGAAGGTAGGTGCACCCTGCCCCACCGCCAGCCCCCAGGCCACGCCTACACACAAGCCCACTTCTGAGGGGACACTGGGCGAGGAAGTATAAATGTTCCTTACAGACACAGCCAACTTGTAGCATAGCAGCTCACAGGTTGCTGTGCCCAGATCTGACAGTGACTACCGTGTGGCCAAGGGCAGGCCACTACATCTTGGCTGGTGTGCTGCTGGAGGGCCCTTGAAGAAGGGGGCTTATGCTGCACCCCAGCTAGAGTGAGCAAAGTGGGGAAGTTCCACTTCTTGTCTGGCCATTGGGAGGCCACCCTTCAGGCCACATGTGTCCTGTGCCCTGCCCCCTTACCCAGGGCCCGGCTCTCCCGGCTTTCTCCCAGGTCAAGGTGTTGAAATGCATCTCAGAGGTGCAAGCCAACAACGTGGTCCTGGGCCAGTACGTGGGGAACCCCAGCGGAGAGGGCGAGGCCACCAAAGGGTACCTGGACGACCCCACAGTGCCCCGTGGGTCCACCACTGCCACCTTTGCGGCTGTGGTGCTCTATGTGGAGAACGAGAGGTGGGATGGTAGGTGACACCTGGGGGTGGCCAGTGGTGGCGGGCGCACAACACTGCACTCGCCTGGTCCTGAGGCTGGCCTTGTGTGCAGGGGTGCCCTTCATCCTGCGCTGCGGCAAAGCCCTAAATGAGCGCAAAGCTGAGGTGCGGCTGCAGTTCCGGGACGTGGCTGGTGACATCTTCCACCAGCAGTGCAAGCGCAACGAGCTGGTGATCCGCGTGCAGCCCAACGAGGCCGTGTACACCAAGATGATGACCAAGAAGCCTGGCATGTTCTTCAACCCTGAGGAGTCAGAGCTTGACCTGACCTATGGCAACAGATACAAGGTGCCCGCAGGGGGTGGGGCAGGGCAGGGCAGGCGGCCTCTGCTGCACCTCTGTGGTGCTCAGCTGGTCCCCTGTCCCAGTAGAACGTGAAGCTCCCTGACGCCTATGAGCGCCTCATCCTGGATGTCTTCTGTGGGAGCCAGATGCACTTCGTGCGCAGGTAAGGGAGGGCCCAGTGTCACCCTGGGAGACCAGGGACAGGGGCGCCAGGCTATGAGGGCAGTCTGCCCCCCTATCCTGCACCCAGGCCCCCAGAGCCATGTCGTGTACCCTCAGTGACGAGCTTCGGGAGGCCTGGAGGATCTTCACTCCTCTGCTGCACCAGATCGAGCGGGAGAAGCCCCAGCCCATCCCCTACATCTATGGCAGGT